ATTTTGATTAGGTAGAGACTGGTAGATATATTAGAGCAGTGATTGATGCACAGTAGGCATGGGGACATTGAGAAAGTTATAACTCACAGCTTGCAGGTTGGAAATTTATGAAGGGCAAGTGGCATTTTCAGAGAAGGGCAAACTCGGAAACCGGATAAATGGAGTTTCATATACAATGGTATTCATATGCCAGGAGTCATAAGTAATTTGATTATGGGTTACATTTGGGCTGGGAAAGGGGAAAGGTAAGGAAGGACTGGTAAAAGTTGTGGGAAATGAGGCTTGTGTGTAGGTCAGGAATAATCTTATACATTATTCATTTCAAAGGCAAAAAATTATAATTTCAAGAGACAAAAATAATAACATGATTAAAGCTGTGATTTGGAAAGATAATCAGTGATGGCAGAATGTTGAAATAAAACTTCTTGGCAGGAAGAACAGTTAGGAAATAACCCGAGTATCCCAAGAAGAAGTGAATGGTTCATACTTTAAATAAGGGCAAGCAATGTTATGAAGAAAGAAGGGCTGATCAAGATATATTTAGTAGGAAAAACCACAAGGGCGTAATGGCTGATGGTATGACAGATTGTGTGTGAAACATCTGAAATCTGGCATATACAGCTATTCAATTAATATCCAATCACCTCTTTCTTGCAACTTATGTTGAATTTCCTCTAACATGATTATTACTCAGACAAGTCTATCATGGATGTTATGTCAATATAGCACCTAATGCAACTGATGTATGATTTGCAGAGGTCTTATATAAAAGACGAGGAAAAAGGAAATAGCGTCCATTTACAAGTTTGACTACATGGGCACTGGTTTATATACCAATGTTGAATTTCATGTACTTATACAAATATATGTATTATACTAGATTACCTGAAATGTGGATATTATTTCTATAAATTTAGAAAACCATGATGGTATCAAAGTAGTGTGAAATTAGTATTTCCAAAACCAAAGATTGGTAAATCTTGCTACTCTCTGTAGTTCTACATTTTACAAGTTAAAAGCAGAATAGGATTTATAATAATAAATACTAATAGTATCCAACAGGCAAAATTATACAAGTATCTTTGTTATTTCTCACTGCCACTCTGCAGTTCATGCCTCTGTTTTTGTATGTTTCTTTTTAATCTGAATTCATAACTTATTAAAATATTTTTATTGATTTCAGATAGGAAGGGAGCGGGAAAGAGAGATAGAAACATCAATAATGACAGGGAATCATTGACCTGCCACCTCCTGTATGCCCCCCACTGTGGACTGAGCCTACAACTGGGCATGTGCCCTTGACCAGAATTGAACCCGGGACCTTTCAGTCCACAGGCTGATGCTCTATCTACTCAGCCAAACCTGCTAGGGCTCATAACAGTTTTAATGGATTAAATTGATAAGTGCTATCAAGAATCTGAAAGCAATTTCAATAAGAAAGGAAATAGGAATGAAAGAAAAGGAAAGGAATATTATTCTGAGAGTTAAATATGAACCATAAATTTCCCTCAGCCCCATTGTATACTGTTTATTCTTAATAGCTTTTCAAATGTTCTCTGCTTCTTTGTAAATACTGTTGGTAGTTTCACTTCACTTGGGTTCTTACTCTATAACTAGAGGCCCAGTGCACAAAAATTTGTGCACTGGGGGGGGGGGGGTCCCACAGCCCGGCCTGTGCCCTCTCAAAGTCTGGGACCCCTCAGGGAATGACCACCTGCTGGCTTAGGCCTGCTGCCCAGGGGATTGGGCCTAAGCTGGCAGTAAGACATCCCTCTGGCAGCCCGGGAGCCTTCGGGGGATGTCCACTTGCCAGCAGGGAGCAGGCCGAAGCTGCAGTCAAACATCTTTGGTGCTGCTGAGGAAGAAGGAGAGGCTTCCGCCACCACCGCTGTACTGGCAGCGGTCAGCCTGGCTTGTGGCTGAGCAGAGCTCCCCCTGTAGGAGCGCACTGACCACCAGGGGGCAGCTCCTGCATTGAGCGTCTGCCCTCTGGTGGTCAGTGTGTGTCATAGTGACTAGTCATTGCAAGTTGTTCTGCTGTTAGGGTCAATTTGCATATTACCCTTTTACTATATAGGATAGAGGTCTGGTGCATGGGTGGGGACTGGCTGGTTTTCCCTGAAGGGTGTCCCGGATCAGGGTGGGGGTCCTGCTGGGGTGCCTGGCCAGCCTGGGTGAGGAGCTGATGGCTGTTTGCAGGCTGTCTGCAGCCCCTTCAGCCTGGGGGTCCCTGCTGGGGTGCCTGGCCAGCCTGAGTGAGGGGCTGATGGCTGTTTGCAGGCTGGCCATGGCCCCCAGCCACCCAAGCTCCCAGTGGAGGCTGGCTGGAAGCAGGCACCTGGGATTTATTTATCTTCTATAATTGAAACTTTGTTGCCTTGTGCAGAGGCCACAGCTGGCCAGGGCAGGCGGGAAGCTTGGCTTCCTCCATTGCCAGGATAACCAAGCATCCTCCTTGCTCCAGCTCTGTGGCTGCCGGTCGCCATTTTGGTTGGGTTAATTTGCATATAGTTGTTCTGATTGGCTGGTCGGCGTGGCTTGGGGCGTAGCGTAGGTGCAGTCAATTTGCATGTTTCTCTTTTATTAGATTAGATATTAATACACTAGAGGCCCAGTGCACCAAAATTTGTGCACGAGGGGGGTGTCCCTCAGCCCAGCCTATACTCTCTCACAGTCTGGGAGTCCTCAGGGGATGTCCTACTGATGTCTCCCTGTGGGGAGCAGGCTTAAGCCACAGTCTGGCCTCCCTCTGGGGAAGGTGTCCAGAGGGGTGATCAGGGGACATCGCTGCCCCCATCACCCCACCTCTGCTGCCACCCGGCCTCCCTCTGTGGGAAGTGACTGGATGGGCTGATTAGGTGATAGTGCCAGCGCCCCCCATCGCCCCTCTGCTGCCACTGGTCACTGCCCCCCTATCGCTATTCCCTTCCTCTGTCCACTGGTATGCACTTTGGCTGGCCTGGCACCACCTACTCCCTGCCCCCCCCCACACACACACACACTGGTCGCTCTGCCGTTTGGTTTATTTGCATATTACACTTTTATTATATAAGATTGGGGAAATCCTGTTTATTTCACCTTTAAATATATCTTCAAATGGCATGGAAACACCTCTGAGAATGATGTATTCTGCTTTATATTGGTGAGACTGTAATAAATTATATTAGGACATTTGATTGCATTACTATTAAAATGATTTGCATACTACCATATCATTTGTTGTTTGTTGTTGTGTGTTTTGCTTTAAAAGAGTGCTTTAATCTTTATTTGAAATCTGCTCTCCTCCAGTTCACAGATGTATCACACACTGAATGGAGGAATCAGAGGACTATACTTAGGCCATTTCACCATCTTGTTCAATTAATGTCTACAAACTATGGAGTCTATCAGCAGGGAGCAGTTGATCTGTGGGTTCTAATCTGCCTTTTCATTTGCATGCTAAGTATAGGAAGACCAACAACTATGTGGGTACAATTACTCCCACTTTCAGCATACACTATGTTCACTGATAAATTAGTTTGGAAAAATTACGTAGAGAACTTCAGGGTGAGAATTGGAGTCCCAAGAAAATTAAGCAAAAGTATAAGAAGAATTAGAGAGTTATAAAACTCATACCAGATAATATAAAGTAATAAATATCCATGATTATGTTAATAAAATAATAAACAAATAATGTATTAGGATTAGATAAAAGTTTATATTTTAAAACAATGGTTCTCATTAATAACTGCATCAAAATTATCTGTGAAATATTTAAAAATATAGGTTGGTGGAATTCTCACCCCAAACATTCCCAGAGATTGCATATATGTCAACTCTGAGTATTATTGTTTTTAAGGAGGGGTTGCTTCTACTGTTTATATCAGAGATCATTTAACTTGGTTTCCCATTTTAATGACTGATAAAGTCTACACATACCAATATACAGTGGCATTCTAAATCAATTAGAATTGACACCAGTATATGGGGCTCTTACAATTCCAACTAGAATCTCTGTGAGTGGAATCCAGCATTGGTATTTGTAAGCTATAAAAACTATAGGACACTTTTATTAAATTAAACTACAGTGGAAAGAAATCCAGTGAAGTGTAGTTATATGAATTTTTTTAGCAATAATCTTTGAATTAATGTTACAGATTACTGATATAATATGTTATTTGACTATTTATATAATATCTGAGGGATAGATATGATTTGTTTAGTATTTGTTGTTCTGGACATCTTATTTGATCTCTACCCTTTTATTCATGACAAAATTATTTCTGAGATGGTCATTGTTTTAAAAATTGAATTTGTCATCTACTTTAGTTTCCTGTCACCAATAATAGTCTTTGAATTTAAGAGATAGAGTTTCAAATTAGCTTTAAATAGAATTTTATATTTATTATGCTCTAGGAAAACTTGACTTTGAGTGACAATTTGATTTTAAAGTAGTCCCTATAATATTGTGTTCATTTTTTTTTTTTTTTTTTTAGAGATAGATGATGAAAATCTTAACTTTTTCAGTAGTGTACAGTATATCTTTCAGATGAACTGAGACAACTGTGTGCTAATTTTTATCAAAATGGATGTCCCATATACTCTTAAAGTCTCATTAAGAATTTGTGCTACAGCTTCCATAAACAGTGAAATGCATCCATGGTAATATTCACCAAAAGCAGAAGCAGAATAATTAAAGCTACCACATGGTGTTCTACATATTTCTTCTAAATGGTGGAAAGATAGATATAAGTGGAAGAATCTGTATCTAGGTTAGAACAGAAACTGTAAGGGAATCTGGGAGGTAGGGATTTTAGGTATATATTTTAAATCTGAGATAACGGGGACAGGGACACACTACTAGGGGGTCGTATATAATTCAAGACAATAAAAAGCAGAACAAGACTTTTTGTTTGTTTTTTAAGCTTCAATCAGTAACACCCAAGGAAAAGCAAGTCACAAATCTGAGGATAGCTAGATAATACTATTCTGATTTCCCTGATGAAAATCAGTGTTCAAAACCAGTTGGTGGCGACAAGAACGGTGGTACCCGAGTGGTTAAACTCCGCAAAATGCCTAGATATTATCCTACTGAAGATGTGCCACGAAAGCTGCTGAGCCATGGCAAGAAACCCTTCAGTCAGCATGTGCGGAGATTGCGGGCTAGCATCACTCCTGAGACCATTCTGATCATCCTCACTGGGCGCCACAGAGGCAAGAGGGTGGTTTTCCTGAGGCAGCTGGACAGTGGCTTGCTACTTGTGACCGGATCTCTGTCCCTCAATCGAGTTCCTCTTCGTAGAACACACCAGAAATTTGTCATCGCCACCTCCACCAAAATTGATATCAGTGGTGTGAAAATCTCCAGACATCTCAATGATGCTTACTTTAAGAAGAAGAAGCTGCGCAAGCCCAGACACCAGGAGGGCGAGATCTTCGACACAGAAAGAGAAATATGAGATTACAGATCAGCGCAAGGTTGACCAGAAAGCTGTGGACTCACAAATTCTGCCAAAAATCAAAGCTGTTCCTCAGCTCCAGGGCTACCTCCGCTCTCTGTTCGCTCTCACCAATGGGGTTTATCCTCACAAACTGATGTTCTGAATTTCTTGTAAGAACCCGATTAAATAACTGATATGTTTAAAAAAAAAAAGAAAAAGAAAGAAAATCAGTGTCATGTATGGATGAATTACATAGTGGGTAAAAGTTCAGAATTTTATATAATTATGTCAAAAGAATTCATTAAATAATAAGGAATGTATATAACAAATACCATATAATTCTGGAAAAAGTATTCTAAAAAAAGAAATAATTCATTTCATTTTCCACATTTAAGCTTCACTCAGTTACTATTTTTTTTTTAAATAAATTTTAAAGAAATTTGAGGAAATGTGTAAATGAGAGAAGAAAATGAGTCCATGTTTATTTTTATGCCTGACCCCCTTTGCCATATGTTTGGTAAACATATATCCATATTATATTATGGCATTTACTGCTTTTTATTATATAGGCACATTTGTTCTTCTTTCTGTCCGAAATATTTTTTTTTTTTTGGAATCCTCACCCAAGTATATCTTTATCAATTTGGAGAGAGAAAGAATAAAGGAAGAGAGAGGGGCAGAGGAGAAACATCGATCTGCTGCCTTCCAAACAGGTCCAACTGGCGATCAAACTCACAACTTAGGCATGGTCCCCCCACTGGGAATCAAACTTGCAACCTTTTTTCCCCTGGTATATAGGATGATGCTCAACCAACTGAGCCATTCAGCTCAGCTGTCCAAAATAATGTATGTATTCCTTACAAATCACATTGCACTTCTTCCAAATACTAAGAAACAGAGGTTGAACAGTGAAAGCAACTTGAATTTTATTATTTTATCAACTATTGAGGTAAATGTGTTTATAAAACATGTTCAAAAAAGTATATCACTTAAATTCAATATATTTTGGTTTTTTTAAAGATGTCAATATTTAGGCCAAAAAATTATCAATTGCTTTATTTAGCTTATAAAAGTACTTTTAAATATGAATCATTAGGCACGTTTTGCTTACTGTTCTCTTCTATGTGATTTCATTAGTTAGATTAGTATCAACTTGAAAAATATTCAATATTGTATAGAGATTGAGTCAGCATAATAATAATCAACCTTTTGCTTTTAGACTGGATTTTTTAAGACTATTAATGCTTAATATTAAAATGTAGCTTTTTATTAGAGGTAATTGAATGCAGGAAGTATGTGAACAAAGAATATTTGTTTTTTCAATTAGCATTTATAATTTCCCAGACAATTCTAAAATTAAAACACTGCAAATATACATGACATTCAAGTTTAAGGGCATCTATTGTGAGAATGACATTTACTAGATAAATTTTTAAATGAACTGCTGTAGCAGCCAAGATGAATCAAAGCATAATCATTTTGATGTTCCACGTGAAAGATAGATTTTTAAAAATTGACTGAATTGAATTATTTCAGATTGCCCACCACCTGTCACTGCTTTTTTTCTAAACTAGAAGCACCCATTAATTTATATGTGAAATATCTGCTATTGCAAATCAAACTTCTTTTCCAAGTGGTTACAAGGCCCATGTGCTGAGGACCCATGAAGTCTATAAAGTGAATGGTGATTTTGTGTTCAAGTTTGATTAAACTACGGGAAATATATGGATTGAAGATGGATGGTTTGTTATGGGCCACTACAGCATTCTCATTGCTCTGTTTATCTTTGTTCTAGCTAGTGCTAAATCAAGATAACTAGCAGACAAGTATAACGGAAAATATAAAGAAAGAACATTGAATCACAGTATTAGCTTCAGATGAGTATCGATCCCCAGCCTGCATTCTAAGATAAATGGAGATCAAAAAAGTAAACTTTTTGTGAATCATCTTAGATCAACACTTTGTGTGCTTTGGTGTCAGCCAGCATTACTTTGAATGGAAGGCCCAGAAGGAAATTTATATCTAATTCCTGGCTTTCCTTGACTAGCCTTTTGTTTTCATATATTTATTCCACTAAGTGATTCCGCTATGTTCAAGTTAGATGTTTTCCCAGATTTAGTTTTATGTTTTTGTCTTCAATTTCATCTTCTGCTTCTTAATGATGGAAAAATTTATTGTAGATTTTTCAAACTTTATGGTTTCAGTGTTAATTATAAAATGCATGCTGAACCTAAATTTTTTAAACAACATAAAATCCAAATGTGAGTCTATTCTTCTTTGATCATTTCTCTTTACTAAGGTAATGAATATTAAGAGTTTAGTATGCATCCTTCCACATTAATTTTTTTTCCTGATGATATGCAAACCTAGCTTATGGGATATTACATAAATAAGCTTTGATTTTAGCTGGGAAAAGAAAATTTAAATGCTTTTATTTAAATAATTTTCTGGCTAAATGAATTCTGCAAAAAATTGTTATTTTCTTAGGAATTCTAGAAGGACTTGTAGAAATGTCTTTGGTACCATAAGTGGGGATAAAATTCCTAAGGTGTTAGCAATTAGAAAGTGTTTTTCAGTAGAGAATGAAATAAGCCAGGAGGGATTACTTACCTCTCAGTATGAGGTAAAAAATAAGGCAATACTGACTTGTTTAAATTTAAAAATGCCATTTATCACTTGCATCAAACTCCTAAATAAGCTGGGTTTTGTTTTATCCACCCTCCCCCCCCCCCCAATAAAGGACATCCTTTCCAGGGAAAATTCTAATTGTATACACACATCTTGTACACACACCCATGTATACACACACTAATAAAGACGGAAGCTTCTGTTTTCATTTATGCATTACTCATGCCACTGAAAATACTAACATTTAATAAGATCGCCACCTGACCACAAATTTTTTCAACAGGTTATAGTAAGCTCCCCTAGTCTCCTGGGATATTCTGTCACATTTATGATCATAGTTTTCTTTCTGCCTCATCAAACAAAACAACAGAAACAAATTTTTTCAATGAACAGTATGGTGGTCTCCAGAGGGAAGTGGGACAGGTTGGGGAGTAAAGGGTAAAGGGAGGGTCAAATATATGGTGAGGAAACATAGTTTACTTTGGGTAATAAACACAATGAAATGTACAGTTGGTGTATCATAGAATTGTACACTTGAAAACTACATAATTTTATTACCCAATAACTTCCAATAAATGTAACTTAGAGAAAGAAAGACAAACAACACAACCAAAAGATACTATTGTTAGTGTACACTTTCAATACACTGGTAACTGAATACACCTGACTGCTATAGAGTAGGTAAGTGAGCAAACTCCATCAAAAACACTCCAGTATTGCTTAGGCATCAACTTAGTACACAGATGGTGGTCAGGTCCAGGAAAAATCACTTACAGCAAATAACATAATGTGTAGAAAAGACCAAAGCATCCAAAATTATTACTGAAATGAATATCTGATTAGGATTCTTGACCTGAGATAAATTAGATGCTCTAAGAAACTCTCCCAACAAAGAATGTCTAAAATTCTGGATAAAAACTTTCAAAATGGCACATTTGTTATTTTAGGCTGATTGGGAAGAGAAGCAGCAATAATTCTGGAATATAGATTTTTTTAAAGTATATGTCTAAGTTTTAAGACAACTGAAATTAACTTAATTATGCCCTTTACTCATTTTTGTAAAATATATTTGTTTTGATTTCAGAGAGGAATGGAGAGGGAGAGATAGAAACATCATTGATGAGAGAGGTTCATTGATCAGCTGCCTCCTGTACTCGCCACACTGGGGATTGAGCTGCAACCTGGGCATATGCCCTGACCTGGAATTGAACCATGACCTCCTGGTTCATAGGTCCACACTCAACCATGGAGGCATGCCATCCTGGCTCTTTATTCATTTTTAAATCCAACACCCCTAGGTACCCAGGACTCTCAGCTCACACCACCTCCTGAAATCTCATCTCTAGAGTTTTAAATCCTTGGTTCTGTTTCAATTTTCTAATTCCTGAAATACTTCTGTACTTTTAGAAACACATACTAGGTCTAAATTCTCCAAATGTTCAAGCTTTGCTCTGATTATTATTTTAGCTTCACTCTCAGCTGAGGACACCACCTGCCTACAGTTCTCTTCGGTCGAGGATATTTTTATTTCTCACCCCCATTTCGCTCTCCTGGAGGTTGGGTATTGCCCTGCTCCTCATGGCCAAACTTCCAGATCAGCGATGCTCTTTTCTCCCCAAAACCCATGTCACCGCACCGATGATTCTTAGCTTTCACCTTCCAACCATATTCTATATTTCCTGTCAAGGCCCATCATTGTTTGGCTGCCAAGTATATCCAGTGCTTCTTTCCCCCCTCCATACAGCCTTGGCAATATCCTATCCTGGCTAAACCAACTCTCTGACTACTTTCTCTTTATGTAATACTATCATGAGAACTCCACCCTCATGACCTTATTTAAATCAGATTACCTCTTCAGTTCTCCATGTCCAAATCTCATAACATTTGGGATTAGACTTCAACATTGGATTGGGGGAGAGGGAATGAGGCATAAATTAGTCCCTATAACCTATTTTCACTTTTAATGTACCCTTTTCAAATCAAATGTCTCAGTCTGTTAGAGCTGCTGTAACAAGAATACCAGAGGCTGGGTGGCTTATAAACAATAGATGCTTATTTCTCCTTATTTCTCATGGTAATGGAGGCTGGAAGTCTAAAATCGAGGTGTCTGCATGGTTGAGTTCTGGTGAGGGCCCTCTACTGAGTAGCAGGCTGATGACTGCTAGTTGTATCCTCACATGACAGAGAGCAGGGAGAGGAAGCAACTCTCTGGACCCTTATGAGAGCACTGATCCCGTTCATGAGCTCCATCTAATCTTTATTACTTCCCGAAGACCTCCACCTCCTAATACCATCAGGCATGCAGGTGGGGTTTCAACATATGGATTCTGGGTGGATGTGAACATTCAGTTCCTAACAGAAAATATTTTCTAGAAAATCCTTTGTAATCGAAATGAAGTGAAACTTGTTATTCCTAGAGGACACCGTCAAAATCCCTATATTTTGTAGCCAGTGGTTATTAATTATTACAAAATAAAATATCGAACTAATTTTGTTTGCCATTTCTGTTTTGTTTGTCCTGGCAGTATGGTACATATTAAAGAAATGAGCCTATTTAT